CTATCTATCTATCTATCTATCTATCTATCTATCTATCTATCTATCTATCTATCTATCTATCTATCTATCTATCTATCTATATATATATCTATCTATCTATTTATCTATCTATCCATCTATCTATATATCTATCTATCTATCTAGCTATTAATTTATCTATCTATCTACCTATCTATCTATCTATCTATCTATCTGACTATCTCTCTATTTCTCTTTCGTTCTCTCTCTCTCTATTTATCTTTCGTTCTCTCTCTCTCTCTCTACTTCTCTTTCGTTATCTCTCTCTCTCTCTCTCTCTCTCTTTCTCTCTCTCCAGCTTCCCCACTCCCTTTTCAATCTCTCTCTCTTTCTTTCTCCCGCTTCCCTCTTCCCAATATTTATATTCCTTTCTATTTACCTCGCACCCTCTTCCTCTCGCGCTCTCTCCGTCTCTTCTTTTGTATTCCCGCTCTTTCTCTCTAGCGTGCGCGCACTCTCTTGCCCCTTATCTCGCTCACTTTTCTCTCTCCCGGAACCGAGGTAAAGCTACCTCGTAAAATTTTCACGTGAACGGGATTGATGCCTTTTCGAAGCTATTACGTACGCGTGCGTACCTGTGCGATGAGTTGCCGCACGAAGCGCATCGGTCGATCAACCGGGAGGTCGAATATCGTCTGCTGTGCGTGGTGTGTCAGCGGAGGCAGCGTAAAGACCGCGAGAGCGATCTACCTTCTAAATGCATGCATGCGACCGCATGTGCGTGTGTGTGTGCTCGAACAACGCTCTCGCCAGATTTATCATATTGATATTATAATTTTTCCTTCCGATTCATCAGTGGAAGATTTAATCTTAATTGAGTTTTTCGGCACTGAGTTTCGAGCAGATTTGTAGTTTTTGCTTGTTAGATCCTGCATGCGATCTAATACGTTGCGACAGCCTAAGTGGCTCTGCCAGACAGAAGTTGTGAGTGGCGTAATTAGGCATGGCAGGTTATGTGTACGGCTTCACGTGCCATCTCACTTAATCCGATACTGGGGATGGGTGGTGGCCCCTCGGATATGTCATGTAAGCGGCGCCATGTGTAATTCACGGCCCGGCGGAACTCATAGGACGGTGCCATTGCAACTCATCTGATAACGCCGACGAGCGGGAGAAGGTATAGCGACAGACGTTCAGTGCGCTCCGTTTCTTTCGGGGGAAGAGGCTGAATTATAGATAATACATATTACATTCGAGTGATTTGCCTGAGAATACTTGTATATATATGCATACACGATCGCTTATTTGCTGTGGAATACGTACACGGAGCCTGGCCCTGGGCCGCTACCCTGCCACGTCACAGTCTATGTTCCGACGTTATTCGTCATTGTCCTTTTATGGCACCGCTCTTGCTTTATTGAAATACAGTATATCTAGCTACATCACCAAGCGCTTTAGTTATTACATATAACGTTTCTTCGTATACTAAAGCGAAGATTACGCGCCACCACCTCGGGCGATACATGCTGCCACTAGATTAGTCACACGTGACATCGAAAACCGCCGATGGAATAGCGAAACAGTAATATAATAATCGGGTTAAAACATAAAGCAGTAAATTTAATAGGGAAATTGCTATATAGTTGGTTATATCAAGTTAAGATGGCCTGTGGGAAATGTCAATAATGGACAGATGAAAGGTGCCGTGGCGCCCATTTGAAATTACGTAATTGATCTAGGTTAACCCTAGTCAGCATTTCATAGTGAACAAAACACGACTATAAAATTGAGCACAAAGATCTAGCTATTGTGACATATCCATGTGTACAGAATAGTAGACGTGAGTTGGACAAATTGGAATAAACGAGGAAACTGATATATTCTCAGTTGCTATATAATTAGTAATAATATCCAATTTCTTTGTCTTATCTATTCATTACACGTGGGTTTTACCTTTAACATATTGCGTTTAGCGATGACGAATTCATCATGTATAGATACTCTTGGTACAATAGATAGCTGTAAACCCTATACATATATGAAACTAGAAACCGACATTGTACTACTATGTGTATTGTTATTATAGGCGACTATTATAGTTAGTTTCTAAAAAAAAATACTGGACGTTATTGGCGAAGCCATCTCCTGCTATAACGTTTTGAAGCGGTCACATTTATCACAATGCATCCGGTTGTTTACTTAGTAAACCCAGTGTAAAATCGCGGCTGACGTAGTCGCTTCCACGGCATTGAGCGTTATTTCAGATTTAGGTTACCAGATGGCAGTAGGGGCGCAACAATAGTGGGTGAAGACACTGCTCCGCTGCCACTGTTATCGGCGATCATGGGGATATACATTGATAACGACAGTTATCGTCGAAGAATATAGTAACACAGATATAAATGAAAAGAATAAGTCCTAAAACCGATTAATCCGAAATTCATACACATCAATCGCCTTGCATGAGTCTTTAGACAGATAGTACACGCTGGAGAATCGCCCGTTGTTGCGAAGATATTCTGCGTATTCTTTTTGTTTCTGAATCGGAAATGTCTTGTGGCGTGCGTCTCATATTAATAGCCATGGACTTGTACGTGAAACTATTGAAAGATGAAAAAAATGGATTCCGCCCTATAAATATAATGATCGAATCTAATATGGCAGCAAACACTAGAAATAGATCATAATCAGACAAAGATCATATCAGTAATGTCGATGTTGACAACTATTGGGTTCACTGCTTTATAATGGTGATATACTACTCAAATAAGTTAATAACGGTAATCGTGTTTCATATATTTCTGAAATCCTATACTAGCGGTCAAATTACGCAGATTTATACCAACCATCAAACTATCACACAAGCATGCACGCACGCACGCACGCACGCACGCACGCACGCACGCACGCACGCACGCACGCACGCACACACACAGAGAACATTTGTGCACTTTTTTTAACTAACAAATCTGCGCTCATAATACCTGACAAAATGAATAAAACACAAAGGGGTTAAAGACTGGACTTTTATTTATTTAACTCAAATATGTAACACATCACGCACAACATTTAACAAAGTACTAGGTATAAGGATCAAGGTTTCTGTATGGGATATTAATGTATCGAAATGTTATATATATATATATATATATATATATATATATATAGTGTGTGTGTGTGTGTGTGTGTGTGTGTGTGTGTGTGTGTGTGTGTGTGCGTGCGTGCGTGCGTGCGTGCGTGCGTGCGTGCGTGCGTGCGTGCGTGCGTGTTTACGCTCGAAGCACAGGAGTAACCAACGGAAGAACCATTCGTGAATCCATGTTATTTTCTCCTTTGCTAACACGTATGACCGACATTAATTTTATAACACCATTTAAGAAATCCCTGATTTTTACGCAAGTACGACCCATAGAGGCAACCTAGTACGACTCAAATGACCACATATAACAAGAAAAACGCATTTATACATTGATGAAACATATAGACTATGACAAACGATATGACGACACGACTATCAGATTGGTTCAATGTGCTCAGTCTGCAAAATATTTTAACTTGTAAAACGGCATTGGCGAACACGAATATCAATCATAAACTACAGCCAGATGCAATCATTATTGTACAGAAGTTTAATTTAGCAGAATTTAATAACCAAAAATTGAAAGGAAATGATATTAAGGTTATACATTTACAAATAGATTGACTATTCTTGCTGTATGAAACGTTAAGATGACTCTCAACCATGTTATTTGTTGCACGATGTTTAAATAACGTATGATGGACCCTATTTAGAATTATATCCCGTGTTATGCACGTGGGTCTACTACGTACATCTACATATATAAACACGATCGATTGTATTGTCGTGTCGTTGTGTGGGATCGATATTGTGCGTAAGGAAACAATTACTTACTAGCATGGGCTTACGTGCGTACACATGATAGTGATATATTGTAATAAACTAAAGAATCTAACACACGATGCTACGCCGAGAGCAATATACGTGTTGCGTTTTGTGAAATAATTACACCGTTTTCGTAGTAGACTTCATCACTGCGATTATCATTACCAGACACCTATACATTCAAATGCCATCGACAGATGGCAGCATCTTACAAGACGTTGAGTGGAGATTAGCGGTTGCACGTTTGATGCCGCTGTTTTGACTACAGAATATTGGCTTCAAATAGCAGTACATACACGGACTTTTACAGCCACATATTGTTAATGGCTTAAAAAAGTTTACTCGCTGTCATTTTTAGTATAATTTCACAAGTTTTCTAACAAACTAACGATTATAGAAATATGGCATATGCATTAAACGTTATATGTTGTCGCAGAAAACGACCGATTCCACTTTCTTTATTTTACCATACATGCGATTGCTTAGAGCAATTTTCCGTGGTTAAATACTGATAATTGACGCTGGCAAAATAACGGGCGTTCTCACATTTAAAAGAAGGCGTATCGGCCATCCAATTTCGAAACGGACTATATATATATATAATACATACCCATCTCACATTTCCTACGCGTGTGTTGTCGTATAGGGGGGCTGTGGGTGCGACTACATAGTACAGGGCTATAAACATCTCGCTGGCATCGCTACTTATCGGAGTTTTTGCTTAGGTGACTATTCGTTAGATGTCAACTCGCGAGCGGGCAATTTGACAGCAGGGGTTGAGCGGGGGTTTGACAGCAACTAAAGGCTAAGCGTTAACCGATGGACACGAATAGCACAATAGCCGAACCGTTCGCGCCCACGGTCTCTTAACAATCATGGTTCCTGCCGGAGTATGACCAAACATACATGACTACCATCGGCACCTACCGAACCCTGATTAGTTTCCGGTGTATGGTGATTTTGCACCACTGGTCTACCGAATGTCATATCCTGAATGGTTTTGATAGTCAAATATCACTGCACAAAACCCTAAATGTTTTACGAAGTTGGCCTCATCCCGGTAGGAAAAAAACCCATTTAGACACACATGATACCTCCATGCCAGACAGGCCTGATTGCCATGTCGATATATTACCGGAACACATTAAGCGTTGAGCACTATGAACAAAGTAATGGAGGCAGTTGAACGGAATGACAGAAGCTTAACAACTTATCGCATTATTTGTAAATTACATGAGTGACTGACAGCTTATAGCTCAAGATACTACATCAAAGATAAGATTATCCTATCAACACACACAAAGAACGTAGATTATGATGTCGAATCATAGGAAATGGAAGGTTTTTATATATTTTTAGTCGCGACATATTATAATGGCAACCAATATGGCATACACTGGTGAGCGTAGCTACTCGCCTGTACAACAATGTGGTAAAGAAAATCTAGATTTGTGGTGTGTACGCTGTAACCTTAAAAGTTCATAGTTCATAGAGCGTAAGGGGATATGGTACAAATAGTATCGGGAAACGTGTAGAATATTTAAAGGGACTAGCATTTCAGAAATATAACGTATAAGTTAGTTCTTAAAAGGTTCCCCTGTATAGCCATGCCGATTTCAGGTAAAAATGAGGAAAATCTACCTTTCACAACAATTAACTAAATATCGTGCAATATGTACCTACCTACGTTCACCACTATTGATTCATCGATATGTGAAGTCATAGAATAATGCACCAGGGTCGCAACCATAGAAATATGTAGAGACACTATCTATCTATCTATAATAATTATTTCTATGGTCGCAACAATAATGCATCACAGCACATGCGCTCATCAAAAAAACTAGTATCTGGCAAATTGGTTACGTACAAAACTATTTACGTGGAAAATTGGGCACGCGAACAATTAGGCAGGTCTAAATAGATAGACGACGCATGATTATTGTTGCAAAGCGAAGATGGCAAATTTGCAACTTTGCTGCGAGGGTCTACAATATGCAATTCTAACTCATTATAGAATTATATCCTGCAACTAGAAATATTAAACTATTTCCTTTATCCATTTATCCATACGGTTTTGTGTGTTCAACCTACTAGAAACATTTTAATTTTCTGACCGACGGGTTTTTTCTGCACAAAGATTCGTAGTGCACTCGGTAACGGAAGATTATGGCGCACGAGAGGAGAGAACGAGATGAGAAGAACGAAAACGAGAACGGACGCCGACGAGATGAAAAGATGTAGAACAGGAGAGGAATATTATTGATAAGAACAAACCTTCTTATACTATCTCCCCCCACACACCCAGTTCTCTTCGTTATCCTCTGTTCCTACTCTTATACCCCTAATCCGCCTACGGGTGCACGGTAACTTGTATATAAAAAATATGACATTTCTAAGCTTTTATTATTTTTAAACCAAAACGCCTGATAAATCCACACAAATAATTATTGACGTTATATATACATGGGTGGTACATGGTGTCTAGTGTGAGGGTGGACGAAAATAATTGCAGCGATCTCCTTTAAATAAAAGGTCACTTAATTCGCTTTGAAACCTTTACTGGTCTTATCGTCATGCGAGTTTTTGGAATAGCCGTATTCGCCTCTCTAAACATACCCAATCATTAAAACCCCCGCATTAAAACTTACCGATTTAAATTCTGATAAATGGTTCAATGTGCACCTTCAATCATGTTTAACTTCAGCCTGTAATCTAATCCTCTATTTTAATCTGGCCTTTTCAATCAACGCATGTGGGAAACTTTCTCAAGCAAGAGCAAATCGCTGTCGAAGATCACATCGATTATTTGGTCCACCCTGTGTATCGTCATCAGTCTCTGCACAATTATATTGTCTCGCCATATAATAACCTAAAATTATATAAACGCATTCATCTTTTTATCTAACCTTTTTATATATCTCTTCTGTAGCGAACACAATTTCTATACCGTCCCCGTTAATTTCCTGTGTCAAAATATTTATATATTAGCGGTGGATATTGAATCGCCAATAGATGTGAGCCCAATACGCATTCTCCGCACATACAGTGTAGAATCTGACAATATACCATTCTATTGTACTCGTCAGAGTCGTATCGCTGTGATGAAAAAATCATGGATGCTGCAGTATTGTCTCTGTTATAATCACGACTTTTGCTCGATGCTGCATGAACTGCCTCGCTGTATAGGTGGAGTAAATGTCATAAGAAGAAAGGCGGGAGGCGAGACACCATAGATATAACATGCGGTATTTATAAAATAGGCCTATGTGAGATTCTCTCTGTACAGCACAGGCTAATCTCTCATTCACGGCAGTTCGCAAAATAATGAATGCAAATGAAATCAGCGGCGATAGAAAATCACTGCAAAACTGCTATTACTTTTGCGACAATGATGCAAATAAATAATGCGGTTACGTGCGTGCATAAACCGTTTTCATGCCTAGTGGCTGGGAAGCAGTTATCGATCTGTAGTGTGCATACGCGTATAGAAGGAACGAAGTGTCGCGTACATTAAACATAAACATGACCACTCGCAATGTTTCACATATATAATTATATATAACACGCAATACTTATTTTTTAAATTGAGAAGACTTTCCTTTTGTTCTTCTACAGGCACAACGAATAGCTTTAATTGCCTAATATAGCGTTTTTACTACTCGAAAAACAAAATAAACATTTCGACAGTCTTCAGCGAAAGCAGGGCGATTTTTCGTTTACACGACACACGAGCTATAAAAAATATAATTTTGTCAAATATAAGCCACAGTATAGACGGGCTCGATACAGAGTGGGCTTCTACCTTTCGACTGCGCTATGGACAGTGTCATTCATAGTGTTAACCACATTTTGAATTGTATCGATACAAATTTGGGGAGTGATGACTTCTGCCTGACCGCGGGGCTATAGTAGCAGGGCCCTAGCTCTTATAGCCTTTTCTACTTATCTAACCCTGTATGTAAGTAGGCACCCACAGGCTACTTCGTTACACTCACAATACAGCAATAATCTCTCGAATCAACATTTTTACCATCGTAGCTGCATCGGCTTCAACGCAGCGGCGTTGTAGAGTAGCGACGACGATTCGTACGCAGTTCGATGCGAGCGAGCGACGCGTTGTTTCTACAGCGACACAGCGTTGAGCCGTCGCTCGAGGTTTTCTTCCTCGTTGCTAACGAAAATTCTCTTTCAATATGTCGATGCTGTCCGTCTCGTCGTTGTATAGGAACTCGTACTCGATGCTGTTGAACGCGTCGCCCCAGCTGCCGTGCTGCTTGTCGTTGTCGCGGTAGAACTTGCACTGGATGGTCGTGAAGACGGAGCCGTGGTCTTGGATCTGTATGAAAGATTGTTAGTATAGTAGTAAACGTTGGAGATCTGTGCACTGTGAGGCTGTTACGTGTCTTCTACACGTAAGTGCGCTCACGCGTCTGTGCTTTTGCGCTGTGTTGAATTATTGTGTGTGTGTGTGTGTGTGTGTGTGTGTGTGTGTGTGTGTGTGTGTGTGTGTGTGTGTGTGTGTGTGTGTGTGTGTGTGTGTGTGTGTGTGTGTGTGTGTGTGT